GAATTGTTACAACCCTAATGCTCTGATATTTGATGAAAATTGATGGAATTGTGCAGAAAGAATTTTAGATATTGGGTTTTTATCATGTTTTCCCTTGGAATGCCTGATGTTTTCTTTTAGAATTTCAAATTAAATGTCACATAGCCTGTATTCATGAGATAAATCAGAGAAATGTTCATCTTTGGAGGCATGCAAGATTTGCAGTTAAGAGACACCCAAACCCGGATAAAACAGACTGATCTACATGAAAGCACAACATGCTCTGACTCCTGAAAAAGCATTTGTAATTTGTGCTTTAACATTTGAAGAACAAACAGTGAACTCTTGTTCTACCTTCAGCTGTCTCACAGTAAGATTAGACAATGGCATCAAAGACGAAATTTCTCACAAGAGAGGTAGAGGCCTAAATCAACAGTCCATGACAAATAAACCAGCTTTCTGAGCAGAAGTGTGCGATATAATGAATAAGTCTGACATGTACGGGTCTCAGGTGGGACGCCTGACAGTTTGCTCATTTTTGACTGCTTGAGGCTGTGGATTTGGGCGGGGTGTGTGGGGGGATTAGATCCAGGGTGCAGCTGCTGTTTGCTGGTTTGCTGGATTAGTGGATGTCTCTCCCCTTCATACTCACCCCATAGGAGGTCTAACCTTAGGGCAGCTAGTCCGCCTCGATGCTGTCTGGAGTAAGTGTGGGCTCAAATAGCCATCAGGCTAATTAGGATTGATCCACCATAGCAGAGGCATGGTTCAGTCTGTATACATGAGCATCTGCTGTGGGGACACTGTGATTGGAAAGATTATGACTGGATCTTACTTGGGAGGAGACAGATTTGTTGTTTAATGACTGAGATAGTCCAAGGGAAATAATCAAGTATGTTTTGATTATTGCTGGATAGTTGACACTTTCAAAGAGAAGTTTTATATTTACAAGGACTTTTAATTTGAATTTTCATGTAACGCATTTTACTTGTTTGCTTAGATGTCATCCAAGGCAAGCAATTAACATCTGAGCTATTTATTTGTTTATTTCATGTTTATTTATTCAAATAATACTGATTTATATATATATATATATATATATATATATATATATATATATATTAAATTATGTATTTGGGTTGGTATTTCTGTATTTAAATAACATTTATTTATTCAAATAATATTTATGTATGCATTTATTTAATTCATGTTTATTTATGCAATTATTTATTTATTTACTGGTTATTTTATCTCATCAAACTCAACCCACTCCCATTCGCCCACATTTTGTGAGACTGAATTATTGACTGTATTTTATGAGAAGTATTGTCTGAGTTTGTTGATGTTGCAAGGCATAATGAAAGCGCTATTTTCTTGAGATTTTTTTACATTTTTACATATTTTAAGTTTTTTATTAACCCGTATATTATGTTAAAAATTGAAAAATTGTACCCAGAATCGAAAAATAATACAAAGGGTTATTGTGGGAAAATTGTAATAAGGCAACGTTTTAATTTTTAATTTGAATCCTCAAACTCGTGCTGTTTTAGCGCACGTAATTTATTCTTTAATTTATTCACGTATTTATTCTTAATAATTTATTCTTACTCATTTCATTTCAAACTCATTTGACTTAAATCTTTAAAAACAAAACAAAAGGTGCCGTTTAGTTCTAGATGCGCTGTCCCTTTAAGGAGAACAGCTCCAGCTCAGTTTCTAACAGGTCTTTGTTGCAAATGATCAATTGGAACTCTTTACGGTTAGAGGCTTTGTTCTTTAGACATGACATTTAATTTGATCGATTTACTTCTTTTATTTTTATGAGTTTAATTTTTTTTAAAGGTTTATTAACCCACTCTGTCTTTGATGAAATTGCAACGCATTCCAAGTGAATGGATTTTGAAGTCAAGTGCAACTACAAATATCCCCTGCTAGGGACCAAATCAGCACACAAGACATACAGTCTAGACTCTAGAGCGCACATGCTTGCTTTGCACGGCCCAGACATATGTGTTTTTAAATTACCAGTGCCCACCCTCATCCTACTCCATGCGGCGCTGGCACACCACACACGGCTAAATTCATCAGACTCGCTATTTCAGGAAGGCAGACGCCCATGTTACCAAGAAAGTGCGTGAAAATAAGCGGAACTCGGAGCTTGGGAAGCTATACGCATGAAAGAAGATTCATTCAGTGGTTGGGGGATAATCATGTATAGTGAGGCTTGGGGTGGGGTTTTTAGGAGGGTAAGCGGGTTCTCCAGGCTTGTTTTGTGCCCCAGTGTCTGCAGTGCCTTCAGAATCCCACATTTGTTGAGATGATGATGGGAGAGAGCATGAACTGCCAAAGGGGGAAATGAATGAAGACAAATCTTCATTCTGCCCTAATGATAACGGTCAGCAAAACATCAGCAAATTGAGAGAGAGATGGTCTGAGGTGAATGATAAGAAGCCAATGTTTTCAAGGAATAACTCAAACCTAAATGAAAATGTTGTCATTATTTTCTCACCCTCATGTCTTTCCAAATCTGTAACAGTGTATCTGTATCAGTATTGTTAACTAAAACTATTAAAATATATTTGATAATTGAAATAAAGCTAAAAATAAAATAAAATATTACTATTAGATGAAAAATTTTAACTTAAAAAAATTAATAAAGTATTAAATACAAAAAACTGGAACACAGAGGGAGATTTTTTTTTTGTTTATGATTCTACTATTTTCCATACAAACACAGTTCACAGTGACCAAGGCTGTCAAGGAAAAAAAAAAAAAAAAAAAAAACAGCCATAATGCCACAAAAATGGTCCATTTTACTTGGTTTTTTATTCCATATCTCATATAAAATAAAAAAGGTGTTGTTATACCATCCAACTGAATAAAAAGCTGACTTTAGATCACTGATGGTTCTAATCCAATATAGGATTTGTTCATGGTCGGTCCAAGTTGCTCCAATAAAGCCCTCATTCACCTCGAGTAGAGCAGAGAGCTGCTTGGAGGATTTACTGCACTGGGATGAGTCTGTTGGGAGGGAGTCTCTTTATTGAGGCCATATGAACACCAGCTACTGTCAGATTGCCAATCCTAGTTTCCTGTCTGCAGTGCTCTGGTATTTCATATGGTCTGTGACAGTTGTGGCCAACTGGGGGAAGAGATCCCTTCTGAAAAAACAAACAAACAAAATAACCCCTGAAAAGTGAAGATTAAATGAATATTAGGTTACATTTCATTGCATTGTAAAACTAACATTGATAGTTTCAGAATTCGGTTAGCACATGCTGTCATAAATATTCTTACAGTAGGACTGAGTTGGAACTCCTTAACAGATATGTTAATACTGTAATCAGGCTCTTATCGATTCAATACAGTTCCGAAGGTTTTAAGTTTGTTCTTCCCAAACGGAAATTTGCCATAGTTCTTGCACAGTCAGGCAAAGACTTCATATAAATACAGTGCGCTCGAATTACTCATAGACAGTATAAGAAGTGGACAGAGCCATCTCATTGGAACTCATTTGAGACAAGTGAAGCCCATTTTTAGCGATATATATATATATTGTGATTAATTGCATCCAAAATAAAAGTTTTTGTTTACATAATATATGTGTGTGTGCTGTGTATAATTATTTTGTAGATATAAATACATATGTATGCATGTTGTATACATTTAAGAATTATTTTCACGTAAATACTGTATATACATAAATGCATAATCTATATTGTATATAAATATAAATATTTGATATATGAATAACACATTTTCTTAAATATATACATGCACAAATATATTATGTAAACACAAACTTTTTATTTTGGATGTGATTAATCGCAATTAATCTTTGCACAGCCCTATAGGGCTGTGCAAAGATTAATTGCGATATATATATATATATATATATATATATATATATATATATATGGGATAAATTGATTCATTAATGTCAACGAATCTCGCTTCTCCCGATATGGACCAACTTCCCTTCCTCCCCGCTGAACGTGAGCGATTACAAGTGCTTGAAATGCACTCACGGTGGTTGAGCGCAGTAAAGTTAGTTTTAGGTTCGATATATTTCGCCTGACATTTGTTTCCCCTCGTAATAAGAACGTATCCAGTCGGCAAAACTCCGAACACATCTTGTTTAAAAAAAAAATAAAAAAATGACTCAAGTGCCGTTTTTTGTTCTGGTTTCAAATAAAAGCTTAAGTTCAAATCGTCCAGAGTAGTGGTCAGAGCTAGCCAGCAGTAGCCATTCTTTGTTTTCAAGTAGCAGTGAACCATCGCAACTCTGTCGTCATTAAATTAAGCCCGCCCGTCGACTCTATACACGATGTAATTGGCCTGACCAGAGTTTGGTTTTCCCAGCTAAAACGTCTATGAAGAGTTGCTAGACCACACTGGCAAAATAATTTTTGCTGCCGCTAGGGTGCGTCTAGATTTCTAGGCTAAACTTCTTCACCAGTTGCGTGAGTTTGGGGGCGGGGCTAGGTGTTTGACTGAACAATATCAGATTGAGGGCCCCGAAAAATGTGCGTTAGGAGTATTTGGGGAAATCGTTTTAGACACTACCATTATCTATAACTGTTACAATATAGAGATGCTGCATTGAAAAAGATTTTTTCCTTTTATGCAATGTCATTCTTTTCATCTGCACTCCTTTTATGTAGCCTCAGAGCATCTAAACTCGTTCTAGAACATTCTGCTCAATCACGGATTCATTTGTATTATTTTTTTAACTCCGGCTCTTGTTTACAGTGTATCAGGCTGTTAATTATATGACCATCTCATTTAGACACACACCCACACACACTCTCTCTTTCTCTCACACACACAGCGCCCTACCCCTCGCTCATACCACTCTGCCACTTGCTGGAAGGTGGCAGTATGGACGGCGCATGCTAAACTCACACGTGTCTCTGGCCATTGAGGAGGAACATGTATTGTAGCTGCCGAGGTCATGTGACTGATATAAGGGAACTCTGCGGACACCTTGAGCTCACCTGCCTTTGTCTCTCTCTCTCCAGGTCCATCTGAGGTTCTCCGTCTTCCTCTGTGCTACACGCCTAACCAACAGGATCCTACACGCAGATCTCATCAGGTAGGCTCTTTATCCCTTTTTTCCTCCCTTTTCTTTCAGTCTTCCTCCTGTTTCTGCCTCCCTGCTCGCTGTGCTGCAGAGATGCTGCGTCATTGTGTGTAACGCTCTGGCACATAAGGTGAGTGAGAATCTGACAGGCTGAATCAGTGCCGGCATTTTCACACCCCTCTATGTTTTTACATTTCCTCCTTTTTTCAGCTTTTGTCATCATCTTTCATTGTTTTGTGAATTAATATTTCTTTGATGTATCGCCTGTGAATTTTTCCCTCTGTTTTTGAGAGTCAGCGTACCTGTTAACTAGCATGCTGGACACATTGAAGCAGATTTGAATTATGTGTTGTCATGTAATTTCGTGTCTGTGTGTTTGCCGCTCGGTGTAACATGCTTATTGGAGTCAGGGTGACGTGATGGTGCCTGTCTAGACACCTTCCATTAGCATCACCATAGACTGTCCAGATGCATAACAGTGATTTAATGATGGTGTGGGTCCCCACGGGTGGGTGATAGTACCTTAAATACTATATCACAGTGTGAGCAATTGCATTTTATAGTATTATACAGTTACCATGATATACAATTACTCAATTACTGTGATATATCAATATATTCTACACTTCTAGCTGAAAATTCAATGAAACATATTCAAATGCTATTCATCTGTGTGTAGACGTACTGTATATTATAACTGATTATATACTGTATGTCTGACACACACACTATTTTCTTGCTGTTGAATACATTTCGTCAAAATCTCATGAGATTAAATAAGAAGCACTTTCATATCATGCACAGGATATTTAAAACAGTGTATTTGCTTCAACTAGATGGCAAATACTTAACTAAGACTCTTTTAATACAAAAAACACAAGCCTTTATAGCCATAGTGTTTATTGAGGAAAGAAAATGCTGTACTTACTCAAGCATCAGTTCTTTATTTACCTTTGCATTGCAAAAAAGCAGAGATGGTCTCAACGGTGTGTAGAACTTTATGTGGTTTCACTTATAGTTTAAGGATCCAATGGAGTTACAAGGTTTTTCCTTTCACAGCCTTTTTAAAATGCTTTTCATTGGTTAAATATTTGTAAAACCAAAGTATAGACTTAAAGGATGACCAATAGCATTCATATTTAAAAATGATATAACAAAAATGACAACATATAGAGATACGAGGTGTCCGCCCACAGCATCAATATATTCTTATTTGTAGCATTTCTTTTTATTTCTTTTTTGGAAGTTGTTAATTTTTCACAGTACAACTGACAACCTGTCACGGCACACGAGTGCTGCGGGACGGTAATTATTTACTTAATTTTTTAATTTACATATACATTTTTATTGAATGCGTGTGTATGTACAGTATGTGCATTGTATGCAAGTATAAATATGTATGCATATTTATTTATTTAAAATCTATATAGGGCTTTGCATTGTTTTTTTTTTTTTTTGCTTAGGGGATTCGGTCAATTATAATTTTCCATGTAGCTTTTTTCTATACTGTAACTGATAATATTCCATTTCAAGAACAGCTTCCATTGCTCAAGTTGGATGCCATAATACTTTAATTTCATAGCTGTTTTTGTGCTGTAGCAGAGCGGAAGATTATCAGCAAATAACAATGTAGCTTTATGTGAGAAATCAACATGGCATCATGACTTTTGCATAAGTCAAGTGGCGTGTTATCTATACGCATTTTGAGCTATCCGCGTGTATCCACGTGTATGTCTATGCCATTAAATATCGGAGTGATTCCAATGTCCGAGCAAAACAAAGCAAAATGTGGACCTACATCTGGGGAGCGATATTTTTTTTCCTAGGATGGTAGGGGAAGACTCATAAATTGTATTAACCCCAGTGACGGGTAGGTTTAGGCATGGGGTTGGGTTAGGTCATATATTTATACAGTAATGTAACGTTAATTCAATGGCGTTCATATAACGTTACATGCTGAAAAGCGATTATGCGTGTTTATAGCACGCCAAAATGGAAATACGAATTGGCGTGTCATACATACACCATTTCATGAGATCAGTCTGGAGAAATTGACCAACATTTAAATATTTCTAGACTAGTATAGCATATAGACTTCTGTACATTTAGTGTGCTTTTTCTGCCATTGGACATTAAATGCTGTCATGCCACCAAGCAGTATTGGTTACAGTACACATACTGTAGGGCTTGCTGATCTCAGAATCTCACTAGAGTCGGTTTCATCACTGAATTGTTGTGGAAAAGAAGTTGACAAAAGAATTCTTGGTTTATATTGTTGTAAAACGCCATCGCCCACTCCTTTCCCAATTCTTCTCTCCCCCTCTCCTGTGGTTATGTCAGAAAGCATGTGCCATACGCGACGTGACCTTTTCTCATCCTTTTATCTCTGTCCCTCAACACACCGCCGTGTCTGTGCTGAATAAGGTCACAAACTCACGATACAGGTGACTGTAGTCTTCATGCATCATGCCAGAAGGCCATTGAAGCACAGGACAAAACAGCGTTTTGTCTACTGTCTATGCCTCTCCTGCAGTGCTGTAATGGCAGAAAGCTCGTTGTAGGAACCAACTGCTGTCCTCAGTGACAGACTGCTGCATTGAAGCACAGCCTGGTCTCGAATATAAGAAAAAGCTATTTTGGTTACTTATGCACAATATTATTATGTACTTTATATTAAAAAAATAATGCAGTTCATTTGATTATCATTTATCTAATATGTGCATAGGTTTCTGTGAATAATAGCATATACTTACTGTATACTTACAAAACATATCCATAAGTTTCCTACGCCCCATGAGGGCTTGCGTCAAAAGTGGGCGCGACTTCCGGTTGGAAGTAAACAAAGCGCGACTTGACATGCTTGACACTCGTTCATTCAACAGTTGACAGTCATTCAAGTTATAGCGATCCAAATTAGCTAACGATGTGGGAACACAACCTCAACGAAATTAAAAAGGGTGAAATAACAGTACCTTTACCCTCTGCAGTAGTTGATTGGGAGTATTAACATTATTAATAATCAATACTCATCAAGGCATGGTGACAGACAGTTATGTGTGCTGACAAACAATTAAAATAAAAAATACACACTTAGTCATTGTGCTCTGGAGTTTATTCAAAATTATAAATGAATGTGCTACTTGAATACATTAACTGGCACATTTGGTATTCTGTCACCTCAGGCTTTGATCCTGAGTTTAGGTGTAACATCAGTAGCGAACAGCCAAACGCATGCTGATAGAGTTTATAGAATATTAAGAATTTAAAAAAATGTACACAGGAAGATTCGTAGTCTTTTGGGAGGTGATGGAAACTACGGTCGTTGGCAGGATCAGAGACGCGGGCTCTGCAGGATCACTCTGATTTCGTTTTCAGCTTATGTTCAAAACAATCACGTTTAAGCCACTGAATTAGTTTAGTCCGGTTATACATACAACCGTGAACAGCACATGTTGTCCCTGAGCTCCGTAACGACATCTCTCATAAAGATTTGCGTCTTTAAATAGTAAAATAATTCTCCGAAAAACAGCTAGCCTCTTCGCTAACTAACACACAAAATACCATTGGAATGCTACTTCCGCCGCTTCACCGGAAAATTCACCCACTTTATTTTTTACAGGAGCGCCCCTCGGAAACTTGTGGATAGATGACCAATAATTTAATCTGTGATATTAGTAACTGACAGTGAATAAAAAAAAACCCTTTGTGCGCTGAGTGCTTAGAATTGGAGACACTTGTTAGTCGGTTGTATCACATTCACAACACATTCCACTATAGTGTTTGGTAGGGCTGGGTAATAAATATCGATTTCTCGATATTAATCGATTCTCATTTTTACGAACCAATATCGATTCTTAAGTCTCAAGAATCGATTAGTCATCCTGTTTCATTTCAATGAATGGAACATTGTATCGCGGCTGCAAGCATCCAAAAAAAAAATCGCAATAATCTTTGTCCTTTGTTACTATTGATATGAAACAAAATCTCAATTTTCAAATTACATCCATTTTCTTTAGAAAATCAAAAATATAAATAGTGTTTTGGCGCTGTGGCGTGAGATCGCTCTGGCGCAGCTCAAGAGAAGCAGCAGCGCTGATCTCTCTTCCGGCTTAATTATACCAGTTACAGCGCGAAATAAACATGAATGAGCGCCTGAAAGTCTGTTAAAAGATAGAGTACATTATACAAATCCGTATCATGTCATATTAATTCGCTCAATCAGCGTTTCAACCGTGGAAAGACGTCAGTTAAACAGCTTGTAATCAGTGTTTACCTCAGAAAACCCACATCAACTCGTTAGTCAGCTAGAAAAAAATAACTCTAGAGCATTTTGCTAAATATATACACCATATTACATATGCATTATAATCTTAATGTTCTTCAATAGTTCATGCATATTTGAATAAATCTGGCAAGTTTTTATGACAGCCACCATTTAAATGTTTATATTTCATATAATCTTATTATAAAAATAAATAAAAGTGTAATTTAAGTGATTCATTCATTATTACCTTCATATTAGGCTAATGAACCCTAGTAGGCTACAACTAGACTCCCACAGTTTTACAGCATTAGTTAAGAAATTTGATTCCCTTGAGAAAAATTGGCATTTATTGTAACTGATATCCAAAATAATCGATATTGAATCGAATCGAAATCGAATCGAATTGTGAAATTTGTCTCAATACCCAGCCCTAGTGTTTGGTGATTTCAACATTCATCTAGAGAAGCTGTAACTCTCTCCTAGCCTCATTCGATCTCAAACGGCTCATCACCACAAGTACTCACAAATCAGGCAACCAACTGGACCTGTTTTATACACGCAACTGCATCACAGACAACATTTTGTTGAGATCCTTTCCTCATTACTTTCAATCTCACTACCCATGCACCACCAACCCCCCTACTGATTACTTTCAGATGAAACCTGCGCTCACTTTCTCCATCTTATCTTTCCTCTGCTGTGTCATCTTCTTTTCCCTCACCCTCAGAATTCCCATCTCTGGATGTGA